CAGCAGAGAGGGACTGGACTGGGCTTGGGGGAAATGTGCTCTTTGAAAGCCCTGCAATGTTTTGTGGTTAAACAACACTGGTGAGGGATGGGGCCTGTCCCATGTGAAAGTGACCAACTAACACAGCTCCATCTCTGTTCATTCCAATTTCAGGAGCACCTGAGCCATGTCCTCCTGGTGCATGGTTGCCAGGGCCTGGGCTGGTCTTGCCTGTGAGCAAATTCTGCATTGTACTAAGATACAGGAAGGAAGTAGGGCTATTTCAAAGTACTGAGCATTGATTTCTCTGCTCAGTGGTGTCTAGTCACATGGAAATTTTTGGCTCGTGTCCTTGAATTTGTGCAAAAGTGTTTGGAGGAAGATTGCTTAACAAGCACCTGCCCAGGTTGCCTAAATATCTGTGGTACATCACTTTGTTGCTGGTTTGGGATGACTGGGATTTAGAGGATGACATAAGAGTAGGCCAGTTTATGGGAGACAGTCCTCAGTGTTTTGCTTCGAAGGAGTTGATTATGTGGGCTCTTTCTGGCTTATTTCAGAAAGGGGCATGGTCTGTTCTCAAGGAGAACAAGCTCTGTTGGTTCTTGGTAATAACCACAGCACTGGCTACAGAGTTAAGTAAAATGTGAATGCAGTGGTTATGGGTGAATTGCCTCTGCAGGTCTAGTCTTATTGACCTGGATTAGCTGCTTCTTTTTACTTACTGGGTCAGATGAACTGATGCAAGAAAACAGGCCTCACAATCCAGTAAACTGATAGACAAGATTAAAACCAAAGAAACACATCTGTGTCTCCTCTAACCTGCAAAATAATGCAAAAATAGGCAGCAATGACAGAATTTTATACAGAAGGACAATGTATCTGCCCCCTCCCCTGCTTTCCACCTTTTCTTCCTCTGCAGACTCTTAAGGGTGCCTCTAACTGTGGTAAGGGCCATAAACAACCAGTTTGAATGTGCTGTTTAGCCATCTTACTTCACTTATTTCTTAAGATCAAGAGATTGGACTTTCTCAGAAATTTTGGGAGGTTTAGATAGAGATATATCAAGATTTGAATACCACCTGTAATCACATATCAGCTCTATGATCTTGGTCAATAATTTAAACTCTCTGAGCCCCTGACTCCATGTTATGTAAAAAGAATAAAACTCTCTTGCACTGGCTTGTGATGAGAATGAATTGAGAACGATCTGTACAGGCCATAGTAGGTGGTCTATAAACAGTATCTGGCCCCCTCCCTCAGCAGAATGCTGGAATACTGTAGCACTTTGTTGAGGGTCTATTGTGTTAGGTGTCAGTGCTACTCTCCAGTATTTTTTTTTTTAAAGATTTTATTTATAAAAGAACTGGGGTACAGGTCAGAGGCACAAGACAGTAAGAGAATTCACCAGAGACAGAGCTGAGAGCAAAACAGGCAGACAGACTGAAGACACTGCTGAGGGGAGCAGTGGGCAAGGCAGGAAAGGTCTGCGCGCCATGTGGGTTTCTCCCTGGCTGGGCCAGAAATCGAATCAGTGCTGCAGAGGCTGCGGACAGCTTCACAGCGCTGCGCTCAACCCGCTGCGCCACTGGGGAGTCCCCTTTCCAGTATTTCTGATTCTCCTCTCTTTCTGGGCTTATAGGGGAATTGTATTTCCCCTGCTTCTTTAAGTTAGTCATGACTTGAGTAATGTGATGTGAGTGGCAGTATGTAAAAATGGATTATATCATTCTCCATGATTCCTGTTGTCTGCTGAGACATTTGCACAAGCAGTTGTTCATATGGAGTCATAAATTGGAAGCATCCTGGAGCCTTGAGCCAACACAGAGAAGGTAGCTGCTCTGAGCATTGGCCAGAATCACCCCACAGTTCACTCTAGTGTGATTAAGAAACAAACATGTGCTGTGTCCCCCTGAAGTGTAAATGGGGCATCACCTAGACTATCTTGACTGATAGACATACAAGGATGTGTAAGATGGATCTAAAAATGCCAGGCGAAAACAAGAGCTCTGAGAGAGGAATGTTCCATGTACACCAGCCACTGAGAAGGAGGCAGCTAAAACTGCTGGGCTAGGCAGGGAATCAGGAACCAAGCATTTGAGCTGGACTGTGAGAGCTAAGAGATGGATGAATGATAACATCTAAAGGACAATCACGTGGGAAAAGACATGTACTGAGACATTGTGAGCAAAGGCACAGAGGCGTGAAAATTCTTGGGGTGTTCTGGGAATAAGAGCTGGCATTCCCAATAGGACCCCTTCCTACTTAATGTGTCCCATGCAGAACTTCTTCATAGAATGTGTGTACCTTTCAAAGCTATGCTTTTCTATCTATATCTGTTTGGGAAAAATATTATATGCATGTCTCCCAAACACAAAGCATTTTAAACAAAGTGATGGAGGGAGCTCAATGGAGAAAGTCTATAGATTCACTCCAAATATAGTTGGTAGCATGTCAAAGATCACAGAGGACAATTGGACAGTTTCTGAGTGTGAACTAAAGGGGTGTGCCGCATGCTATATGACAAAGCAACTATATCCATGGTTAAGTAGACAGGGAAGTATTGTTTTAAATGTTTTACACTGCAAACAACTTTATGAGAGAGGTTTGTATTTGTGGTTGACAAGACAGCAGCAGTATAACCTGTGAAGGAGTCTGGACCAGACATAGTTGGGAGCCAGAGATTTTTGTGCCCAGTAATGATAAGTGGGCACAAGTGTATTTTATCAACAGCCCCTACTCCACTGGCATGGGGAGAGCCTTACACAGGCAGCTGGTGATGACTGAGGTTGAGTGAGAGGTAAGAGCCTCACCTGAGGCAGTTGGGTAGGGGTGGGGGATCAGAAAGAAGTTTCAGAGACTAGGTTAAAAGGGCACAGAAAGTAAAAGGCAGAGAGTCAGCCAGAAAAATGATGGGGAAGTTGTCATGATTATATTAGCCAAAATAGGGAACCTCAAAGGAAGAAGAGAAAGAACGATCATGAGCAATAATGGCCATAGGTTTTAGGGGTGAGAATGATTGACAGAGAGTGACTTTGGTTTTAGATGCAATTAAGTTGAAGTGTTCTCTGGGAGGTCGCTCTTTGTTCCTCCAAACTCTACTCTAATAGTTCACATTGGCTCTTCCCACTGGACAACAGCAGTGACCATCACTAAGATGGAGTGAGAATATATAAATATATACTATCTTGTTGATATATGCTTTTAAGAGGAAAAGCAATACTCATGGAAATACTCCTTCTGTGGAGCCTGCCAGATCCCTCTCCACAAATGCTCTGGGTTCTGGACCCCCACAGTGGTCAGGTGTGGATGAGGAGACAGTTGACATGATTTGTGGGACTCCCACTGCCTCTGGCCGGGGATCATCAGGATGCCTTTGTTACTAAGGGAAAGTGGAATCAGGTCAAGGATCATCATTAGTGCTTTAAAAAGCCTTGGTATATCAACAATGTTCCTTCTTAGTTCATTGCATCCAGCTTGTCTGGACCTGGCAGATTGCCATGACTTCATTAATGGGACTTCAGATAGAACATTCCAGTCTTAAATCCAGATTTACTCTATTGGACCATGATAAAGAATGGGAGAGTGATATTTTCTGAATGAGAATATAAGCCAACAAGAGCAGGGGATTTTGTCTAATTCACTGATGGATCCTATTCTCTAAAACAGCCCCGGAAGATACCAAAGCCCAGTGAATTCTGGCTGAGTTGAATGAAAATAATACTCAGTCTGCAAATTGAGTTTCCTGTTTCCTGTCAGTTTCTAGGACAGTGAGCATGGTGCTGCTGACCCATCTTCCTCCTTTACCAGTTGAGCTCCAGCTCTTGCCGCTTGGTGGGGTCACATGTTAGAGGCCTTGATCACAGCAGAGTCTGATCATCCTCCCTGGATTGGTGCCAGAAGGAAAATGTATCTTCTTACATAGAATTTGCCTTCTCCCACCTGCAAGTGTAACTGTTCTGTTCCTTCTCCTATGCTCAGTAGGGGTGGTTGCTTCACACTAGCAGTTGATCCCGACACACACATTCCTTGCAGACACCCAGGTGATGGCTCCCATTTGTAAGGCCCTTCGCGCATGTCTACAGCCGTTTCCTAGTGCACAGCATCAAGCCTATGATCAGTAAACATTTATTGAAGGAAGCCTGAGTCAGCACAGCTGAATGTTGCTACTGTGTCTCCTCCAGATCTATCTCAGATTTAAAAAACATTTTGAAGAATATTTCCTGGATTGTTGAGAAATTTTCTGAAGCAGAGGAACTTCCAATTATGGTTCTGATAGTCATAAGGAGACAGATTGAAGTGTGTTATACTCTGCTAATGCTGCTCTGTCTCTGGGAATACGGGATGATGGACCTTTCTAGAACCCAGCCTTCTAAAGATAATTGCCTACCAGCACTTCTCTGCCCCTTTTGTTATTGCCACAATGTTGATACAGTGAGGCTACAGTGCTCTGGACTCCACAACGAGGGTTCTTGACTCCCTCTTCTAGCAGGTATTGAGTAGGACTGGTTGCCAGATTCTTCTCATAGGCCGAGAAGAGACCTACTTAAGCATTACTAGCCTGCTGTCCTCCCAGAAAGCCTAGAAACTCATTTTGATTCTATGATGTGTCCTGGAAGGCCTCTGCATTCATTCATTCATTGGTCACCCAACACTTAGCCTACAACACCCTAGGTCCTGGGTACACCAAGGAATGGGAATCAGGCTTGGACCCTGCCTTTAAAGGTCCCTCTTACCCACAACACCGCTAAGACCTCTTGGATGACTTCTGCTCATGTGTGCCTTTCAACCCTGTGACTTCTGCCACCAGGAAAATGGGAATGCTCAGTCATCACACCAGCAGACCCTCCCTCCAAGCTCAGGAGTAAGACAGAGACCATCAACAACTTGGTGCAGAATTGTCTAGTTTTTTTTATTGGAGGATAGCTTAATATGAAATAAATATTAAATTACCAAATTCTGTATTATTCCATAAATAATATTAAGTTAACAGACACTTTATAGAATGTTACATTAAATAAGAGAAAAATAAGTATCTATTTTGCCTGGAGTCAACTGGAGGAAAAATATTTCAATGATTCTGATATCTAAAATTTATCTCAAATTTTTAATATTATTATTATTATTATTATTGCTTTCTGCCTGTGTGACATGGTAATGTAGCAGTATGCCCCAAATTCTTTACTTTGCCTCCAAAGTTTAATTACATTGAACATGAAGGTGCCACCCTTTGTTGACCCTCATTGTCATAACAATAAAATATCTTCCTCCTCCAAAATCTTTTGATAACAATAGCCAGTTTAGTCTCAACTTTCCATTGTCCACTCAGTGTTTATTACACCAAGAAATTCTTGCAGGTAGTCGAGGAATTGCTGTGTTCTCCATCTTTCTCCTGCACACTTTTTCTGTGAAGAAAAAGACAATTAATATTGTAGGAAACTATTGATTCTTATAAAAATAGGCACAGCCAGACAAATATACATGAGTTTCCACTAAATGTTTTAACTTACTTTTTGGATGTCTATGTGTTTTTTTATTGAAGACAAGTTTTTGAATAGTTTTTCCACGGCATCTCCTTGCACAGTTTGATTCTTCAATGTGTCTATCCCCTGAAAAACTTCTTCAATGCATAGTTGGTGCTAAATAAGGAAGATTTTTAAAATATCAATAACTAAAGGAAGGTATAAATTTTGATCCCAAATGTTAGGCTTTGTTTTGTGGTATTTATGAGTTTCTTTCTTCAAAGAGTTTTTAAATTTGCTCCTTTTCCAAGTAGCAAACCACCTCATACTGAGAAGAAAATCCAAAAAGTGGGTGAAGTTTATTTGATTAATGAGGCATTTTATAAATTATATATATTAATTACTTAACCAAAAATAAAATGTTTAGGAAGTGGAATCAACTACATTATTCCTTGAGTAAACCATTCATCAGTGTTTTCTAGTTCTAATTGGTAATTTTATTCTATTTAGACTAATGAAGTCATGTATTTAATATCTTAATGTGACCATGACATATTCTAAACATATGCAAGTCCATTTTCTCATCATAATTATTTAAATATCAAGAACATGTGGTACATATACACCATGGAATATTACTCAGCAATCAAAAAAGATAAGCTCATACAGTTTGCAGCAACATGGATGGAGCTAGAAGGAATCATGCTCAGCAAAATAAGGCAGAAAGAAAAAGAAAAATACTAGAGGGTGTCACTCATAGCAGGAATTTAGAAAACCTAAATAAGGGACCAGGAAAAATACTAATTATAATAAAGTAAAAATCAAAATCAATAAGCAACTATGAACCAGAGACACACTACTTGGGGGGGGGGGCCAGGGAGAGGAAGGATTAGAGTCAAAATAAGGGGGGGTTGTGATTGTATGGGGAATATAACCAAAATGAAAATGCATACATTGTGCAAAAATGAAAAATTATGTAAGAATTATATCAAATAAAATATTAAAAAATTATAAAACAAAAAAGTAAATATGTGGAAATTATTGTAAATATAGGGTATTCATTGTATATGTTAATACCTGCTGACCATGATTCTAAAAATATAACCCTAAGTTACCAAGAGTTTCAAAAAGACATTAAAGTAATGTAGACAGTAGTTAGAGTTGAACAGAGTCTAGGAGGCACCTCTCACCCTTTGGAATTCTGGGAAGAATGCCTTGCTTAAGGCTCTTGGAGATTGAGAACTGACAATTTTACAAAGAGCCTAATTTATTTTTTAATGTATTCTATTTTTTATAAAGTTATCCCTAATATTTATATGTGCATACAATTATATTAGCACCCTTAAAAACAAAATAGAGAAAATTAACTAGTTCTAATGACAAGTAATGTATTGCTTACAATAAACTTATTTATGCAATCATTTTACTGAATCATGTGGTCACTTACATTTTTGTGTTCAGGAATAGGAATCATCAGGGTCTGAAAAGAAAAGGAAATGTATTCATTTTCAAAACACTCTAGAATTCATAAGTTAATTACATAATAATTGCTAGTGATAGGGCTATCAATTATATATTATTATTGCTGTCATAATTTCACCACTAATTACAGATCTTTAAAAATTAACCACCACAAATGATTACCTAGGCATTTAGAAAACTGTAGAAATCAAAAGGAAAATTACCCCATTGCCTATCAGCAGCGTTTGATGAGTAGAGAGCAGTGTCAAGGTCTCTGCCACCAGTCTATTCATGTTACTTTCTACAGGACTGGCACAGAGCATGGCAGCTTCGATAGCTAGCAAGCTCAAGTACAGAAGCACTCTCATGGCTCTGAAATGCTCGGCGTTTGCTTTAGGCAAAGAAAGTGCATAGTACAAGATTGTATCCCCAATTTATTCTGTCTCTGAGGAAATGAATAATTTCTAACAATCAGATAGAGATTGCTTAATAATGGCAGATCATGAAACTAAATGTTTCCAACGCATTGTATCTTAAAATATAATTTCACTTTTTATCTTATAATAATAATAAAAATCCCTGCTTTTCCCCATTTAAAAACACTTTCTTTTCACGAAAGAAAATCTTTGGGCCGATACATCATTGCCTCATGTTTGCGTTTCTTAAAATCAGATGTAATTTCCTCTTGAAAAATGTGTGTAAAAAGGAGAAGTGTAATATAAACCACTAAGTAGAATTTTACACTATAGTACATAAATATTGGGAATGTATTTTCAGGTTGACTGAGCTCTATCAGAGTTGTAGCTAGATTGATGTGTCTTAAAAGGAATTGAAAATACTGGTGGGTAGATGGTGATTAGAGTAGAGACCATCACACTTGCCTGGGTCAAGCTGTGTTCACAAGAATCTTGATTAGGATCCTTTCTGTCTCCAGTGACCAAAAACATAACCAAAATGGTTGAAGCCAGGCAATGAATAATAGCTCATTACTAAATGGCATTGCCTATGAACCTATGGGTCTCTATCCTAGTTATATATATATTAAAAAAAAAAACCCTCTTATTCAAAATTCTATTTTTTTTTAAAAATTCACATGTAGTGAAATACAGAAAACACAAAATTTAACATCTTAAACATTTTTAAGTGCACTGTGAATAACATCAACACCCTCACAAATTATGTGATCCATCTCCAGGACTCTTTTCATCTTGCAAAACTGAAATTCTTCTGGTTGAACAACTCCTCATTGCCCATTCATCCAGCCCCTGACAACTCACTTCTACCCTTCCTATGGAATTGGCCATTCTAGGAAACTAATAAAAGTGAAATCACATGGTAATTATCCTTTTATGACTGGCTTATTTCACTTAGCATAATGTTCGGCCAAGTTGTAACATATGTCAGAATTTCCACCCTTTTCAGGTTTGAAAAACATTCTTTTTGTTTATATACATATATTCCATTTGTGTATAAATATATATATTCCATTTGTGTGTTTATAGGTACATATACTTACAAACACCATATTTTGTTTAATCACTCATTTGTTGATGGACACTTAGGTTGTTACCAGATTTTGACTACTGTGACTAATGCTGCTCTGAATATGGGTGGACAAAATTATATTTCCTATAATGTTATAAGTCATTCACTTTTCCTCTGATTCCCCCAAACTGAATGCAAACTCAGGGCAGGAACCATAAAATAATATATTTGAAAGAGCTTTATTAATGTAAAGATTGTAATATCCTGTGCCCAATAATTCCAAGTAATTATATAAATAGTCTAGCCTCAAGGAAGTGGCGCATAATCCCCCTTAAGTGTGGGTTACAAGATGACTTCATTTTAAACATTTCAGTAGGGAAAGGGAGTTTTAAGAGAAGTAACTTTACATTGGAGAAACCTGGCAAACCTCAGCCTGGTGATCAAGGTCGACATCAAATTATAGTTAATAGCATGTACCCTTAATACGATGTGATGAGAATGCTATTTTATGTGTGATCTTCCTCTAAATCCATAACCTCTCTCTAACCATGAGAGAAACATCCTACAAACCCACATTGAAGAGAAAAATACCTAACCAGTGCTCATTAAAAACTCTCAAGTTCTCCAAAACAAAGCAAGTCTGAGAAACTGTCACAACCCAGCGGAGTCTGAGGAGACATGATGAATAAATGTGATGTGGTATCCTGAATGAGATCCAGGACCAGAAAAAGGACAGTTATCAAAACTAAGGACCCCCCCCCCAATCTCCCCCAAACTGAGAACCAAGTTGGTTCCTCATGGTGACAAAGTATCATAGTAAAGTGAACTAAAGAGGAAATTGGGTTCAGGGTACATAGGAGCTTTATAATATTCTTGCAACTTTTCTGTCAATCTAAAATTATTAAAATAAAAAGATTAAAATAACATTGCAAGTTGAAAAGAGTTCATATTTACTGTTATTATTAATAAGATGATGCATCCTATAAATGTCATGTACTTGGGACCATTTTAGTTCACCACTAGACTGTGAGCTCCTTGAAAATAAAGATTTTATGTAATTGCTCTCTTTATCCTCCAGAACCAGAGTATTGTGGGCACTCAGTTAATGTTTGTCGAATAAACTAAATGAATAAACAGGCAGGCACTTGGTTGCACTGGTTGAACACATTAATTTGAGTACTTTGCAAATTCAAGGAGTCTATTCCCTGGGATGGGAGTCTGAAATTAATAGAAAAAACTTTGGCAGGACTCCTAGAAAAAAAATAGAGCAAAAGCTTAAGGCTCAGTCATCGAGATTAAAACGATGTGAACAACCATGGCATTTTTTAAAAACTCACATTATTTTAGAAAAGAAAGAAATTAGCAACCAATACTCCATCTTTTAAAGAAATATTAATTATATAATTTAGAAAAAGGACTTTGAATAAGGTTGAAAAGTTGTATTAGTGGTTATCATTCATCATTTTGCCCTAAAATCTTTGTCTCAATTAGTGCCTTCTTATTTGGCAGCAGGTTTCTAAAAACTCCTAATTGTGGTTTTCACTAACCCTATAATCATTTAAGGTCAAATAACTTTTCTATGAAGTGATTCTAATCAATCAACTGGGCATGATGCCACAAAATTTTTGTGATGACTAAATGAGAAATGATAATATCTCTTTTTTTCACCCTATTCTAACCTCCATCCTTTTAATCCCCAATCATATCTCTAAAATAGTTTTTATCAAGTAAATAACGTTATAGGAAAATAAACGCAGAACTTTTTCCTCTTAGTGTAACAACTATTAGTATTTTGATGACCTTTCAGTCCTTGCTGACAAAGCAGTTTTACGGAGTTGTAATCAATGAAAACTTGCAAATTATGTTTATCTTTATTTATTGCTCATTAATACTTCTTTCACTTATCTACTATTTCAAAGGTTACCTACTAGTAGATGAAATTGACATACCATAGTTTACTTCATCATTTGTGTTTCTATTTTACTATTCCATAATGTTACTACAAATTTCTTTGTATAAATACACATTTCCTTGACCATTTTTATAGCTTTTGTCGTGGTTGCTCCAGCAATGCACAGGACAGCTTCTCTATTGATTCAGGAGACCCATAAAGGGGAGTCCAGAGCCCTCCATGGCCTTTTCAGGTTTTAATGATTTTTTTTAAAGATTTATTTCTTTATGCATACTAGAGCTGGGGTACAGGCCAGAGGTGTGGGGGGGTGAGAGGATTCACCAGAGATAGAGTGGGTAACAGAACAGGTAGATTGACTGAAATGCGCTGCTAAGGGGAGCAGCGGGTAAAACAGGAGAGGTCTGCTGCACCATGTGGGTAGCTCCCTGCCGGGGATCGAACTCATGCTGCAGTGGCTGCCAATAGCTTCATAGGTTGCATTTTTTTTTTTTAAGATTTATTTTTTATTTATACAAGAGTCAGGATACAGGCCAGATGCGTGGGAGGGTGAGAGGATTCACAGAGACAGAGCGAGGAATAGAACAGGCAGACTGACGAAATACATAGCTGAGGGAAGCAGCGGTGGAGACAGGAGAGGTCTGCTCGCCATGTGGGTTGCTCTGAGGCCGGCGGGGATTGAGCGGGCACTATAGAGGCTGTGGACAGATTCACAGCGCTGCACTCAACTGCCTGCGCCAACAAGGAGGCCCCCATAGGTTGCATCTTAACCCGTTGCGCCACCAGGAAGGCCAGGTTTTAATGATCTTTGTACACCAACTGTAAGGTAATTGGGCGAAGGGTGGAAGGGGCTTTCGCGAATCTTTAGTCTTCTTGGGTTCACTCTGACATTCTCTTGCAGTACTGTAAGGACAGGAATGACACTGAGCAGGTTTTCTGTGATCCAGCAGACCGGGTAAAGGAGGAGTCAGAGTCCTCAGTGGTTTTGCAGGTTTTTATTGGGATTACCAGGTATATGGCAGGCAGGGGTGCTGGGGGGCCAGGAAGCTGGCAGGCCTCCCAGCCCCCAGCTGGTCTTCACTCTGGGCTTTCCGGCCTTCTCTTGGCTTCTGCTTCTGCTGCTGGCGTCCCCGTGATGCCGCCCTTAAAAGCCCAGTCTTAGCCCAGGTGAATCTCATCTACCTATGCCCACACTCTACACCAGGTGCCCGCCATTAGGACCATCCATGCATTCAGGACCGCAGGGTTCCGTCATCTATCCTTGTGGGAAGGCAGAAAAGCCTGACATTTTCCCCTACCCTACAAATACCTTCCACCATCTTCTGGCACACACTGTCCTCTGTGTGAAGCTGCCCTTACAGCCTCAGCTTTCAGGCTTAGGTGTCCACACTTACATAGGCCCACACCATAGTCCAAGTGTCCACCATCAGGCATGCGTTCCCTGCGCCCATGCTCCAAAGTTCCCTCTGCATTCAAGGCCCCAGGTGTAGCCACAGAGGCAGGTGGTGTAAAAGCCTGACCATAACGTACCCTACAATTGTATTCTTTGAAAATATTCAATGCACAAACAATAAAACTCATATTTTTTACTTATAAACCACCTTCACAAGGGTAATTTTGTTTATTCCTGACAAAGGCTCATAAGACAGGTTTCTTTTGCGCAAGGTCCTTTAGCACTAGGGTTTAATAGTTTTGCTAATGAGTGAAATGAGCAAGAGGCATTCATAATCAAAGAGACTGAGAAATATATTGTAAAACTGAGTAATACTGTTAAAATTACATTTAGGGAATTTTAAGACAATGGGGAACAAAAATGCTAAACAATAATAATGTGGGAGGTGGAAGAAGTGATTCTAGTTGGTGCATTTTATAGTTCTTGTACCACTTGAAAGAATGCTAAAGATATAAACTTTTAATTTCAAAATAGGCTGCTGAAAATTTTAAGAGTAACCAGTAAAAGAAAAGGAATAGAAT